ATATGATGTTTGTGTTCTCTACTGCCACCCTGGCCAGGCTACACTTGTAAAAGATTAGCCTTTATTTAAGCAGAGATTATATCTAAATTAACCAACAACTGACAAGCAAGAATCCAGGCTCTTCATGCCATAAGTTGATGTATTCTGTAAAATAAGCAATCCCAGATGAGGAAAGGAAAACCAAACCCAACTCCCTCTCTCTCTTACTCTCGTGCGAGTATGTCCTATTGTGTAATTGTTTCTAAATGCAACTATTTATTTCCACAGCTGGTAAATCACAGTTAATATTTATGATGTGCTGTTTTTATTTGCCTTTTTTAGCCAAAAATGACTGATTCTGTCGATGGAAACGTTTCTCAAATCTTTGCTTTAGTTTAGTAAGCTGTCTTCTGAATTCCTGAGTAGCAGATGTCTGGTTGAAGTTAAATATCAGGATTCAAGGCATGTTTGCATTCCATTTTGTTTTGAAGCAAGTATGGGAAAAGAAACGCCTTGAGGATGTGAACGGTATGTGATAGTTCTCTGTGTGTAGGATTCTCTGGAGGTCACGAACGAATGGTAGACTATATATGTGTGCATTATCACAAATCATACTGTCAGGGTGTTTTTACCTGGAGGATGTTGAAGGATTTAAAGAGGGCGGGGACAGGAGAACACCTGCGGGCATCCACCAAGACAGTCAGTCCCAAAGCACTAACTTCCTTTCTGTGTGACAAATTAAGGTCACATGTTTTATGAAGAATGGGTAAATAAATCACACATACAATTGTTACTCTAAATACAAAAACTGCACAGGTTGATAAAAGTAGAAAGTACGTTGTCTAATACATTGCAGAGAAAACACCTACACTACTGGGACAGGAGAACACCTGCGGGCATCCACCAAGACAGTCAGTCCCAAAGCACTAACTTCCTTTCTGTGTGACAAATTAAGGTCACATGTTTTATGAAGAATGGGTAAATAAATCACACATACAATTGTGTTACTCTAAATACAAAAACTGCACAGGTTGATAAAAGTAGAAAGTATGTTGTCTAATACATTGCAGAGAAAACACCTACACTACTGATGTGAGACTAAAAGTCTGGGGTCAGTAAGATTTGATATTTTTTTTTATTCAATAAGGATGCATTAGGTTGATTAAAAGTGCCAGTAAAAAATAAGTATTTTTATGCCAGCAAAAGATTTCTATTTCAAATAAATGCTGCTCTTTTGACATTTCTATTCATCAAAGAATCCTAAAAATGTATCATGAGCTCCACAAAAACATTAAGGGGTTTTCAAAATTGATAATAATAAGAAATGTTTCTTGAGCACCAAATTAGCATATTAGAATAAAGTATCATGTGACACAGAAGACTAGAGCAATGGCTGCTGATGACGATTCAGCTATGCCATCACAAGAATAAATTACATTTTACTATTAGAAAAATGACAATTAGAAAAGTAATTCTGCTGTAATATTTCACAACATTATTGTTTTTACTGTACTACAAACTTTTGAATGGCAGTGTGCGCCTTGATTTGTAGTAGAAATGTAGTTTACCTGAGTGTACTGAAGAAGTAGACCATGATCCGCATCAGCTCTCCACTATTGCAGTTCGGATTCAACCAGATAGTGTTTCTCATTGTCACTGTCACAAGGGCATGGCCTGATTTATCTCTTGTTCCTAAAATTTATTTTAAAAGATGAGCCTTTGGATCAAATTGATGGAAGGACCACATTAATAGCATTAAAAGAAGATCCTCACCCGGCAGGCAGAGCACTCCAGAGCTCAGGACATCAGGATTGATGTCATAAGCCTCACTCTGGACAGGCTGGGTCTTCTGGGAGATGGGAGGCAGTGGTGGAGGAACTGCTGAGGGGTCTTCACTTTGGGTTTTAGCAGACAGGTGGGAAACAATGCTGTCTACTTCCTGACTGGATGCTGGAATATTAATTAAAAAAAAGGTCATTTCAACACAAACAACACACTTAAAATGTAAACACAGAAACCCTTCGCAAGTCAGTTTAAAATGTTGACTATAGTCAATCTACTATCTGTTTTATCATTGTAGACAATAATATATCACTCAAGTCTTTAGTAAGCCTACATATATATTGATTTGATCAATGTGAGTTAGTCTTTACTGCAATGTTTGATTGCTCAGCAACAAAAATGGATTTAACTGAGACTGAAGATATACAGCACAGCTTATAAATGGCTGACTGATAACTATATTTGGCTGTAAACTTTTAAAAAAAAAGCTAAATCTCTGGGACATGAAACACAAAGCTATTCAGACTCTGAAAACACTGAGGTCTTTTCACATGACAGATCTCTTTACAAAGCTAGTAGACCCACATTCTCTAAATCCTCTATTAACAAACAGCAACGCAGAGACGGTTGAATGGAGTGTGAGCATTTGCCCAATCTGTACCATCATGCAACTCAGCCTTCAAATCACACAAACACAAACATACTAGCTAATTTTAAGCATTCCAGGTATCATCCTGTGCATCGACCCATAGGGCGGCTTGGATCTCTGCCCCATATACCTGACAGCACGATAGGACTCAGAGATAAATAGAGATCAGCTTCTGACAGTCATAAAACTAAAGTTTTGCTTCGCTACACTGCCACGCACTGCTGCTGCTGTGCAGAAAATAGATACTGAGATCAAAAACAGATGAGATGGAGTCCTGGGAATTCCAGGAGTCGTAAAACAGCTTGCACAAAGACAAGGAAAACAAGTATAAATTGCTCTGAAGCATAATCTGGCTGAGATTGCTATATTTCAGAAGGGATTTGAGCTGGAACAGCTGAAGTGAGCTTCTGAGGAAGGAAATCTAAACATAATGGAATGTACTTCTTCAGTTAAGTAAAAGCTACAATAAATTTGACAAATAAGGAAAAAAATCCACTTTTTACCCCCACTTTCTCTTTGTCTTCTTGTCTATCCAACATCCTCCTCGCCAGAGAATGCTCACATTGAGGAAGTCGAGCGTATGAGGCCCCTGAGGAGCTAAGTGCTGCCCTAGACAGGGCAGAGCAGAGAGGGTCTTGGCTTCACACTCTCTCACCACTGTCTGGAGTTCAGTCTGGCCATGGGCCATGTCCTCAGCCTTTATTCTTCATGCATTTCTTTTCTTTCTGATGTGGCTATGGACACTGAATAGGGACAACTCTAAAAGATGCTATTTATACTGAATATATTTCCATACAGCAGACACATTCATTATTTTTTTATTGTAATAGAATGACTGCAATTACATGCTGCCCAATGAATGTGTGGACATGTGTCTGTTGTAAAGATCACACATCAGTTAATGCATGGTCTGGACAAGAAGTCACAAATCAAACATTGCTCACTTTGGGAAGTTTTATGGATATTATTCATGCTATCTAGTTCTTTAGTCAGTTTGTAAACGTATGTGTGTGTGTGCGTGTGTGTGTGTGCGCATGTTCCATCTGCCCAGCTCATCAGCACTCTCTTTTACAGACTGGATTCTCATTAAAGTCTGTAGTGCTTTTCAAGAGGTTTTATAGATCTTAGAGAAGCATTGTCCAAAGATAATTTTACTATCAGAACTAAAAATACACAAGCTAAATTCACAGCAAACTGCCGACACTGAATATTAAAAGTTAACTTTTCAATTTCTAGTGAATCCTATTCACTTGAAACAGTGGATTAAAAGAAATAACACCTGAAATCCTCTGAAAAATTGATGCACGATGAAAAGAATAAATGAAAAAATAGTAGATAAGCGTTCTTCTTTGTGTGTATAGACACACCGCTGTACTAAAACTGAAAAAATGTTTAGGGTTTGTGAACCACCCACTAAGAGAGAAAGAATCAGATCTATCATAGTCAAACTACCACAACAAACACACCATCATTTCTTCTTTCTGCTGTTCTTGTCTTCAAAGCAGTGTAACCCCCACCCGTTCTCCATTATTTAAACACTCCATCTATAACCCTCAAACACACACACTTAAACATCCCCCTCCGCTTACCCCCTGCAGTTTCAGAGGTCCCACAGCAGGGATTGTGTTCAGGCCCACCCACCTCACCTCATCTCATATATCTTTCTTCACACCTGTAGCACACCTGAGCCAGGTGAGCACATCCTGGCAACCAAATCCTCTGGATGAAGAGGAAGAGGAGGTGGGACACTTACAGCAACCTGTGCAGAAACTCACAATGTGGAGGAGCTATGGTGCCCTGGACATGACATACTGGAGAAAAAATAATGATGTGGCCATGTATTAAGAATTCACTCCCACAACTTGTTAATTTGTTGTACTACTTAAATAATACAATTTAATATATTGTGGGAACTAATTAGTACAACATAGCCTTGCTTTACTTAAAGTCCCCATGAAATCAAAATTAAAGTTTTTTGGGTGTTAGTATCAATATGTTAGTCTTAAGGTTATCTATAAGGACAGGGAACGATTCAAACAGTGTAAATATGCTTTACATTGAGGAAAAAAAGATGAAGCCGCGGCTGAAATCGGTCACTTGTCCACAGAATTAGTATTTTCTGTGCAGTGAATGGCACGTAGTGCACTATATAGGGGACAGGGAACGATTCAAACAGTTTAAATATGCTTTCGATTGAGGAAAAAAAGAAGTCTGGTTTCGCGCTGTGTCACGCTAACCATCGCACCGCACACACACTCTGCTCCGGTCCAGAGACACGACAGCACGGAGCGGATCACATGCGCGAGTCGGCTGCAGACCACAAAATGTATCGGAGCTATTTGAATTCTACACAGAATGCTATATTTTATAGCAATATGGATGAGATTGTGGCTGGCATACCCTGTCAAATGCGGCTTTACGGAGCTCAGTGGCTCTGAACGGCTCTAGCCCAAGCTGTGATATAAACGAACGCTATTGACTATTTTAAAAAGGGGCGGGGCTGCTTGATATGTCCCGCCCTGTCTTCATGTTTCAGTTAAAATGACGTCAACACAGAGTAACGCTGCGTGTTTCTAAGCATTTCAGGGGACCTTTAAAATGAGGAACAAAAGAATAAGTCGTGGGAACAAACTTGCTATTTGTGAAAGGGGCATCATAAAAAGCAGATAAAATGCAAAAGCAGCTCCTGATCACACAAAAACACTCTGCTCAACAAATGTCTAAAAATAGCTTAATCTAAACAAACTCAGGATGATTGGGTTACTAAAGTACACAAAGCAGAAATCCTGCACATGACCCAGGCTTCTCTTCAGCTGTTTCCTTTAGCAGTTCAGATGTGAAACGGCGTCTATCTTGGATGGTGTTCAGTGGAATTAATGTGTGTCTAAATTTGAAAACAAACTGTCTAGAGGCCAGAATATGACCTGCTACGAAGCCAGTCCTTGTAAAGCGCCCAGTCTAAGTAAAACCAGAGCCTCCCACGCTTTTCTTTCAGCCTAAAGAGAAAAGGAGCTCTATCAGGCCATAGCACGGGCCATTTGAGAGCCATTTCTAACTTGTCAGAGGCCTGAATGTCGAAACGCCGAAGCTAGTCTGCTAATCTAGAGTAAATATACTAGGTGGACACGACAATGGATAAATGATGAAAAAAATGACTCATAGTGAACAACTGCTGCAAACCACAGAGACGCTTTGGGAATTCAAACACAATTCATGCGTGAAACACCATTAAATGAGCTAAAAGTGAATAAAAGTGGGGATTATAATGATCAACATTAAAATATACTGATCAAATGTGAGGAAGAAGATAAAGCTGTGAAAGCAGGTTATGAATGGAGTGGATAAATAAAAAGAGAAGGAAGAGAAGCAGGTCCTTCTTCATCAGCAGAGGAAGTCTTTAGATGCATCTGAAGCAGATGCAAGCTTCGATGCATCTGTTAAGATGAAGAAACAGGGATGGAGGTAAAAGGGGAAATGGAGGGAAAAGAGTGGGAGGAGAAAAAAGCATGTGGATAAAGTAAAGGTGAGCGGGATGGACTTGGGTAAAGATGACTCTACCTTGCTCTTCCTGCTGATGGTAACGGGTCTCCATGTCTGCTTGTTGCTGATGCCCTGCTGGAGAGCCATTCACAGAGGAAGTAACCTCATCCTCTTGCCTCTCCTCATTTTCCCCCTTTCTCTCCTCCTCCTCCTTTGTATTTTGCCCTTCTCCTTTGGTGGTAGGTGTGTCCTGAGTGTGCATGTGTCCATTTGTGTTGGGAACATCTGCGTCTGGATCAAGGACTTGATTGCATGCTGACTGGACTCTATTTTCAGAATAGCTGGTCACTATGGCCTCTTGCTCACTCACAGTAATGCCCTCGGTCTCCTCTTCCTCCACCCCTTTCTCTTCAACATCGGTTTGTTTCTTCTCATCTGTTCCTACAGAGGAGCTGCCCTCCTCCTGAACTTGAACGTTGGAATCAGACTTGGGTGTGGCATCTACCAGACCTGTTTGAGCAGTCTCAACTTCCTCTGCCTTACAAACTGCTACTGTATCATTCTCTGTCTTGCTTTCTGTCACTCCAATGCTTTTCTTTTCTACCGTTTCTTCCTCCTTACAAGATAAATTTCCCGCTACTTCTCTTTCTGCATGTGCTTCTTTTGTCTGGAGTTTCCCCTCAGTCTCGTTGTTTCTGTCCTCGTGGGACTCTGTCCTCACCTGACCCTGTGAAATGAGCGTAACCAGATCCTCCTCAGGCACCGTGGTGACAGAGGCAAAAGCTACCTGTTTGCTTTGCGGAGCAGCCGAAAGAGGCCCACTTTCTTCCTCTGCACTCAAACTATAATCACCATCAGATTCATTCTTGTCATGGCTACTGTTACTAAATGCTTGATGGTCTTCTTTTGTGGCAGAAAGATCATGCACTTGCTCAGGTGGTGTTTGGATGTGTTTGTGTATCTGACATGGGCTGTGCTCTGCTTGCTCAGTCTGTTTGTGTACGCTGACAGTTAGAGGCTCAGAAACCAACACTTTGCAATTCTGCAAATCACAACAGCCTTCCAGGCCATGATCACCTCGGAGCTGCTCAGATTCAGATACGACTTCTGCTTCTGCAGCAGGATCAAACACAACAAGTTCAATTTTAGCCGGAGAAACTTGTTCTGAGTTTTCCCTCTCTAAAGTACCAGATAACATTTCATTCTCTGGTTGTGATATACTAGTTACTTCGCTGTCTTGTTGCTCCACGTGAACTGTTTTGCTGTCTGTTTGTGATGTACTTAGTGGCATGCTGTACAGATGTGATGCAATGAGTGGTTTGCTTTCTGGTAAAGATATACTAACTAGTACACATTCTAGTTGTGATGTGTGGAATAGTTGGTTATCTGGTTGTGATGTGCTGACTAGACTGTTGTCTAGCTGAGATGTGCTGACTGGTTTGATGTCTGGGTGTGATGTCTTGATTGGCTCGATGTCTAGTTGTGATGTGTTGACTGGTTTGCTCTCTGGTTGTGATGTGCTGACTAGTTTGTTGTCTAATTGAGATGTGCTCACTGGTTTAACGTCCGTTTGTGATGTCTCGATTGGCTCATTGTCTAGTTCTAATGTGTTAACTGGTTTGCTGTCTAGTTGAGATAAACTTTCTTTTTTGTTGTCTAGTTCAGATGTGCTAACTAGTTTGCTGTCTAGTTGAGATATGCTTACTAGTTTATGGTCTGGTTGTGAAGTCTTGACTGTCTCACTGACTAGCTGTGATGTGCTGACTGGATTACTGTCTGGTTGTGAAGTGTTGACTAGTTTGCTGTCAAGTTGAGTAATGTTTAGTGGTTTAAGGTCTGGTTGAGATATGCTTACTGGTTCAACGTCTGGTTGTGAAGTCTTGACTAGCTCATTGACTAGCTGTGACATGCTGTCTGATTGTGATGTGCTAGCTAGACTGTTGTCTAGCTGACCTATGCTTACTGGTTCAACGTCTGGATCCGATGTCTTGACTGGCTCATTATCTAGTTGTGATGTGCTCACTAGATGGTAGTCTAGATGAGATGTGTTTTCAGGATTAACGTCTGGCTGTGATGTCCTGAATGGCTCACTGACTAGTTGTGCTGTGCCGACTGGTTTGCTGTCAAGTTCTGATGTGCTGACTAGTTCGTTGTCTTGCTGAGATGTGCTTACTGGTTTAACATCTGATTGTGGTGTCTTCACTGGCTCGTTGACTAGTTGTGACATGTTGACTGGTTTACTGTCTGGTTGTAATGAGCTGACTAGATTGCTGTCTAGTTGTGATGTGTTGACTGGTTCACAGTCTGTTTGTGATATGTTACGTGTTGACGTATCAGAAAGTGGAGCAGTATCACAGTCAGAGTTTTGAGACACAAACTCTCTCTCAGACTCATGCTCAGACACACTGTCACAGGAGGCTGTACCTGCAGCACAGGTGCCCTCAGACCCATCCACCTGCTGTAGTTGACGCTCTGCCTCTGCAGGAGCAGTGGGGGTTAAAATCACAGGCTGGTAGGTATCACTCAGGTTTTTCTCAATCAGCATGGCGCAAACCATGCTCTGTGAGCATGCGCCATTCTTCAAAAGACTCTGCTCTGGTTTGGCTTTAGGCTGAGTAGAAGCCGCAGTCTGTGGTTTATGTAGATTTCTGTAGTTCATGCTAATGGCTTGAGTGAGAGAGCCCTTCTGTGGGGAAAAGCGTGGTAAGGAGATATCAGCTAGCTCCACATACTCTCCCTCCGAATCCTCTGCCGTGCTGCTAGAGCTCTGTCCACTGCTATCTTTACTGATCTCACTGAGAGCAGGGAGGAGCTTAACCCCCTTGCTCTGACAACCCATCTCCCCCGATTGGTCCGTGGAAGTGTCAATAAAAATCCTACATTGTATGTCCTCAGGGTTGTCTTCTTGATCTACGTCCAAGTCCCTTTCCTCTCTGTTGGCAACTTCCTTGGCCACCCCTCTACTTTCAGCTTCTTCTGTAATTTTGGGGGGTCTGCTGATAAACTCCGGGTGAACAATATCCTCCCACGGTACCCTAAAAATATCATTATCCGCTGATAAAAGACAGTGTTCCAGAGCGGCTTTTCTGACCACACTCCTCTCCCGGTTGATGGAGTCCAGCCAATCCATGGTGAATAGAGAGGTGTATGCTAGCTCTGGCACATCCAGCTCCTCCACATGCTGCCTGCTAGCTGCCAGACACTTCACCGTGATGCGTGGGGTGCTTTTGGGCAATGGCGTCACCTGTAAGTAGAAGTCACTGGGCCGTAACACACGCCAGTCCAAAGATGAGAGCTGAATTATGACCTTCTCATGGACACAGAGCGGCCAGCCCTCATGACGAAACAGGAAACCACAGTATGGGAACTGCAGAGAAAAGAGAGAGGGAATAATCAGTAAGGCCATCAATAATTGTTAATTTAACTGTTGATAAATTACATAGAAAGACTTGCTGGACACATTTTAGTTATCTTAAAAAATACATTCCAAATTTTAATATACTGCTATTAAAAAAAATCTAGCAAAGCAGAGTTAGAGGCAGGGTTCTGTCAATGGGTCATCTAGCTAAACTATTATATTTGGCACATATATTTTTCAGGCCTTTAAAACATGAAGATAAGACATGGTGGCTATTTATGTTTTCTATGTTTCCCATTCTAAGTGAACAAAGTGATATATGATAACAGGCTTGTCTCTCATGGGAAACTACTGGTAACAACCAATTGCCACAGTTGACTTTGGCTTGCTCAATGGGGATTTTAAGGAAAAATATGTATTGCAAAAAGTAGAATATAGGCCTATGCAATAAAATGAATGCAACATTCTGCCACATTTACCACGACATATACCATGGCATTTTATTAACGCAGCACAGGGAATAATAAAGATAAGATCACAGGGACTTAAAGTGGACAGGGATTTTGAGAGATTCTTTCTTGCTGAATCTGGATGCTTCTAGATGATTCAATGAGACAGTTTGCACAATAAGCCCCTTTATTGTAACTCAATTTCAGAGAGAGAGCGAGCCCTGTACTCACTCTGTACCCTGTTTCATTCATTTGAATGAATTCTGCTTGCAAAGTTTACTACAACGGAAGTGTACTGGGACACTAAAGAATTAGAAATAGCCTTGGAGTCCAGAAACAACTGCATAATTCAGTGGGTTTCTTCCTATATGCCTTGACAGTCATGTCACAGACTGTAATACTGACCCTCTCTGTGTAACTTGATGCAAACGTGCTTTCGGATATCTCTGCGATGAAATGAATTTTCTGACTACGGTAGGCTGAAAATGACCCGTTTCCTTTGAAAGGCAGAGGGAGGAAGGAGGGTTGGGTGTCCTTGTGCCGAAGGTAAGGGGGGTGAAAGGGCTTTTTATTCACAGACCTCTCATTTTAAGCTTCTGTTTCCCATTATTATATCCTCATTCACCTTGAAGCTGCAGCCCCCACCATGGAGGAAGATACCTGGAGATACTCCACTGACCCCAGGTGCAGCGAGCAGCCACTGTTCCCACAGGGTTCACAAGAGCATAAATGCACACTGACACACACACACACATGCAAACACAAACTACAAAAACTGAGACCATAAAAGGGGGTATAAATAAAACGGTAGGGGTCCTATTAAAGGACTTTTTTCAGGTGCACACTGGAACCATTCAAGCTGTCCCCTGGCACTGGCTTTCAACTCATGAAACATCACAGATATTCCTTAGAGTGAGTGTGCAGAGTAGGGATGATGGGTATTTTTCTTTTTTTTACTTTAATTTTCCCTTTTTTCCAAACAAATGCAGAAGAAAATGAAGCCCGGCTTTTGTTATTTCCAGATCCCCATCTATCCATCATTTCCTGTCCTCTCCTTGTCACTTGGAATCAAGTATGCTGTGCGTGTAGCATATGGGGGCATCACAAAGAAAACTGTAACTGAGGGACCAGCAGCTGAAGCCGAGTGTAAAGAACATGTGTGTGTAGACAGCTGTGTAGAGCATGTGAGTGTGTGTATCTATACTGATCTGGCTGGGAAAGATCCCAGCGCTCTGCAGCGTTGATAGGACTTCTGGGGGCTTCTTCTCAAATAACCAAAACAAGAAGCACTAGCACAAACATTCAGGCCAACAGGCTTGCCGTGCCTTTTGTTTTAACATGCACATGTGTGTGTTCTGGGTACACCCTCATGATGACTAATGATGAGTGGGGGCTCAGCTAACAAAACATGACAGACAGAATAGGACATGAAAAAACACAACCGGAGGCCGAAAGAGAAATCATGAACACAATAAGGTTGTAAATGTTACACTAAGATAAATGACAAAATGAGTTAAGCAATGAGTAAGAGAATTGAAAAGAATGAAAGGGAAATGTGTCACACATGTATCCTGTTGAATACAAGTGAATGCATGTCTATGAATTTTATCAGGCTAGATTTGGGGTTTGCATTAGTTTAGATTTATTAATTTCTTCACTTTTTATTTCTGATATAATAAAAACATAACAGATATAAGAAATAATAATGAATAAATGAACAAATAAATAAATAAAAAGAGAACTTTGATACTCACGCATGCATCCTGTTGAATGCTCTGTAGGATGTGTTTAGCGGGCACCAGGAAGTCAATGATGTAGCGTAGTCCGTCTCCACGGTATTTCGTCTCAACCACGTCTAACACCTGGCATAGCACGGTGGCCGCAGTGGCTTCAAACGGAGGGTAGAGTGCGGAGAGCGTGCTCTGAATGCAGTTGTCCAGAGATTCAGAATCCTGTAGAATAGAATAGAATAGAATAGCTTTTTATTGTCATTGTACAGCGAAATTTTTTTGCTCTCACACTGAAGTGCACACATACATACAAGAATTTACATAGAAGTACATTTAACAAAATGCAAACAATGATACAGAAAATATAAACAGTGCAATGTAAACAGGTGTGCAGTAGACAGTGCACATGTAAACAGTTATATATACTAAATGTGCAAAATAGGTATAGTGCAAATGTATTAGATATGTACAGTAGTGAGTGAAATATTAATAAATCAAGAGAATTCAGGAATAAATATATAAATATAAGAACAGGGTATTGCACAGGTACACCAGTAGCTGTATGAGTAGTAAGTGTATAGTCCTTAGTATTCCACAACCTTTGAAGCTTGTGATTAAGTGACATGTCTTTTTTTAATTGGAGTTCAGTTATGTAGAGAAATATACAAATAATCAGAGGAAGAAAAAAACTTTCTTTACAACTATATCTCAACAATATTGACATAAATACAACAAAATTTTTTGTTTCTAATTCGAACAATGAGAATTCAAGATGACCTCAGTTAGGCTATGGATCATCCTACATCCTATGAAATGCCATGTACTGCCCATCAAATTAGTAATATGGTATTAAGTCCAACACAGGCACACAGATAGACACACTCTCAGGAAGTGAATCACCCAAGCCTGGCCTTGTCTGTCAAAACCTAGACCAAGCTTTTCTTCTACCATGTCCACACGTGTCCTGAAAGCAGCTGATCAGTGTCCCTGGTGGTCTCCATCATAAGCCTTCCCATCTGAGAAGTTTAGAGAAGAACAGCGACTCGTGGTGAAACCTGACTCTTGAAGCCAGTGCAGGGAGCAACCAATACGCTGCTAAAAATAACAGCTGAATTTTAAGAAATAGGCCTCTAGTCTAACTTTACTGTGTCTATTTGCTCTTTGCTCATAAGCATGATCTTCTTCTCTGTCATTCACAATTTTGTTGTTGAGCTTGTAGTTTAGTCAGTGACTGGTTAATGTCCATTAAAAATTAAATTAATTGAGCTTATCGACTGACAGCTGATTAATCAATATCAGCATAAATGCAAGCATTAATCATGCAAGGAGATGGTAAAAAATGTCTGTACAGTCCATACAACTTTTGTACTGCATGTCATATCACATCTGCAACACAAACATGCATCACTGGCTTTCTTGAATAAATGAAGCGGGCTCAACGTAATCAATGTTGGAGTGTTTCTTTGTAAATAAAGATTACGTTCACTGCAAATACTATAATTGTATCTCATCAGTCTCCCACTATCATCTCAACCAACAATCATGTCAGTACTCGCCAGGCTAGCATGCAGGTAAATTCACCTGAAATCTCAGTGTGGCCGTATGTTATGCATTGGATTCTCATTGGGTATTATTAACTGGAATATTTCACAATCCACAATGTTACGTTGAAGAAAAGGTAATTAAGAGACAATGAATTAAGTGACAGTAAAGACATTTATAACTCTCACCATGTGGGCCCATCTCAACTACCTCTATTGTTCTCTTTATAACACATAACTGTGTTATTGAATTATTTCCTTTATTACTCATTTCCAGTAGATTATCAATAAACTCATTGATCTTACTGACTGAATGTCACCCAAACCACACAACTGCCCTGAAAGAAACTCTACGCAACTAACATCCTCATGACGCATTACTTACAGTACCACTTAGGGCCTCACAAAACTACTGGGGTTACTAAAGCTCAAAAGTACAGTCTAGCATATCCAGTGACTGAGGCATGTCAGGCAGGAGAGATGGATGAGACATTCAGGCACCACTTTAGAGACCCCTCTCTGTGTGATCACCTATATGTGCACACGTGTAGATAGTAATCTGGGGTAAGACCGTACCGATACAAGATAAGGGAACCATAGCAAAACCAGAGTTAATGTGAAGATGTTTATGTTGAGAGTAAGAAAGATAAAGAACGTGGGAATAAACAAACTGAAAAACAACATGACACAGCTGTGAACTAAGCAGACACACAGGTGCACTGTGGATAAATATTGTAATTCTACTAGCATTAAACAGAAGATGAGAGATTAAAGATGTCATGTGACTACACTTTATGATTAAAGTCAAAAGCTGGTTAGTAGAAGCACCACATCTTACAATCTAACTGCTGCTTCTGTTCGGGTTTGTCTACAGTTTGCATAATTAGCATATAAAAACAATAAAAGTATATGGCAGTTGTTCTCAAACAACCAGGGGGGCTTTGTCAAACTTCCAGGTGTGGCCTAATAATAACAATAAGTCTTCATAAGTCTTTAAAGGGGTCATATGATGCTTTTTTAAAGATCATTCTTTTGTGTATTTGGTGTAACAGAATATGTTGACATGCTTTAATGTTCAGAAAACACATTTTTCAAATACTGTACATTATTGTAGGTCCTATATGCCCCGCCTCTCTCAAACGCTTCGTTTTCTACTTTGCCACTTCAGAGATCTTATCTATGCACAATCAGCTTGTAACACTCCAAAGAGAAAGGAAAACTTGAAATCGCATCATATGACCCCTTTAATAATATAATAATATTCAAATTGTTTAAGTGACAATATCTTAAATGAAAATTATATTTAAAGAAGACTAAAAATAAAGATGTACATCAATGAAAAGCATATTTTTCATATCAATCATATTTTTTTGTTTGTTTTATTACAACAGAAATATCAGAGGAACATATCAGCTCAGACATTAGGACCTTCGATTTTGTCCTGGACAATGCCTGGAAGCCAAAATGGTTGAGAATCACTGCTCTGTGGTATGTCCCCATTTATATAGCCAAGTAAATGTCTTCATTTCCAACGACCATGCTGTGCCATACTGTTATCAGCGCTGTAACTCAGTCAGCCTGGGAACTGAGATCCCCCACACACATTTCAACCATCTGAAATAACACAAAGAGGATGAAAGTGTGATCATTCTTTGACTTCTCATCTCGAAGCTCAAATCTGCACGAGTGTTTTATGCTGGTTTCATACACTGATCCATATCTGGAGCTATAAGAACACACATTGGTCTATCTAGTCAGGTTTCTCCAGCTCTGAAAACATTCTTAAAGGGGTCATAGGATGCCCATTTTCCACAAGTTGATATGATTCTTTAGGGTCTTAATGAAAAGTCTGTAACATAGTTTGGTTAAAATTTCTCAATGGTAGTGTAAAAAACAGCTCTTTTCAGAGGTCAATCAAACTATCGTGGGAGGGGCCTGTTTTTGTGACGTCACACAGACAGGCATCTGAGATCGGCTTGATTTGAGAAAGGGGTAAAGATTTGAGCAGATAAAAAAAAAACACTCTGTGGATTTTTATCATTTTAGGGTGGTTGTGAACACACTTTTCAGTTCAAACAACTTGTAAAAGTGCATGTAGCATCATATGACCCCTTTAAATACTGTGGCATTGATGCATTAGATTCATTAGAAGAACAAACTCCATTTGACCAACTCATTTTACATTACACAAATCTAAATTCCAGAATATGTGTTGTTTGAAGTGAAAGTTCAACTGATGTTTACCAGGTCTAAACATCATCTGCATGCCTGAATGTTCTTCATCGACATCAGTCATTTCAGATATATGAGCCACTTCTTGTACAGAATACATTCTAACAGCCCTCTTCAAGAGTAAATGAATTCCAGGTTGAGGGATCTTCATTGGTTTTTGATGTATGTTCAGATTCAGCTAAACTCTTATATATAAAGATTCTTTATTGGCATCAACATTTCAGTTGTTTTCAATTGCACAAAATGTTCTTTAGATTATTAAAATGTTCTTCACACTAAGAAAAAAATATTATTTTAATGGGAAGAAACCAGTAGTTCTGAAAAACCAAGGAGTTCTAAACTTATTATGTTCATTGTTATTTGAGAATTTGAGATGAGTGGAAGTCTTTTTTTTTTTTTTTTTACAGTTTGGCAGCAGGACAGCCTTCAAAAGCAAGAGACAGAGGGCTTTTCCTCTCAAACAGTTCCGACCGAGGTGCCAAGAAGTCATCAATCAAAAAGCAGGGTCTGGAGCTTGGGGAAAAGCTCTTGAGGCCCACAAAATACTGCAGCCTCTCTCTGCTGAATAATGTATAACATCATTAGGATCCCCATTTAAACCCGAACAGTAACACACACACCACCCAACATCGTGAGCAATCGCAATATCATTTTTTCAAGAGCCGTCACTCTAGTTAAACTCATGCGAACAGTGGCACGGCCTGACAGAAAGATGTTGATTAGAGGAGGCTGTGTTCATGTACTCGTCATGACTAATGCTCATTTATGAGTCTGACATTGCCTGTAGTGTGTTGACTAAGGAAGGAAGGGGAATCAATGTAGACTTCCTGTCTCAAACTGTGTAAAAGCAAACATTTCCAAGAGAAAGTCAAATATTCCACATTCCTTCTCCATTTGACCTTTTAAAGGTAAGAAACAGCAGCTTAGGCTTTTCCTCTGTGAGCTGAATGGGAGACCCTAAGAAGGGCCCATTCTGAGAGAGGAGAGGGATTTACTGTTAGTCTGCAGCAGACGGCTTAATTTTCTCCAGATCTGAATGGCCACACAAGCCGCTCATTCCTCTCCCCTTTTTTATCACTCATCTTGGTCTTTTCTCTCAGGCATTAGTGAGACAAGTTGGTGAGATTTGGGTCTACAATGGTATCATTCTGCAGAGCTCCGTAGTCATGCCTACAGGATAAACACTGTGCCTCATAAGCTTGTGTGAGTGCGCTGTACCACACTTTGTCAGGCAGATATTCTGTGGTTTTCTGAGTGTTTGTGGTTGGACTTGTTCTTCATTACACTGAGAATCTGACAGAAAGTCTTTTAGCATTTTCTGCAGTGATTCTGGGACAAAACGGTCTTAATTCAGTGGAATAGTTTGGGGTCAGTACGACTTTTTTTAAATCAATATTTTTATTCAGCAATGATGCATTACATTTTTGAACTTTCTATTAATTAACGATA